AGTAGTAAGTCAAAAGATAAGACATCACTAAATGAAGAATTATTCTCAGGGCCTATTCTTCAAAATAATTTGCTTAAAATTTTTTTACATTGGCGAAAGCGTCGCTATGCCTTTTACCGCAGACATTGAAAAGATGTTTCGCCAAATTGAGGTCAATCCCGCTCAGCGGAAATACCAGCAAATTTTATGGCGCTATAATAGAAGTGACGATATCGCTATTTACGAATTAAATACCGTAACTTGTGCTACGACTCCAGCTCCTTATCTCTAAATTCGAGTTTTGCGTCAACTTTCTGAAGATTATAGGCACGAGTATGAACTGCCGTCTGCTGTATTAGACGCAGACACGTATGTCGATGATGTTATGTCAGGAGCCGACACTTTAGCCGGAACAGTCGCATTGCATAAAGACTTATGTGCTCTTAATAAAGGTCAATTCGTACTTAAAAAATTGATTTCTAATTCAGCAGGATTTCTCAACGAAGTTAAGAATTGTTCTGTCACTTTTGATCTTAATCGAGATTATGAAGTTAAAGCGCTCCGTGCTCAGTGGAACACCACTTTTGATTCATTCGTTTTTAAAACTAGCTTCAAGTCTGACTTCACGCCAACAAAACGCTCCATATTAGCGGACAGTGCACGTCTCTTCGACCCTTTTGGATGGCTCACCCCAGGACTTTAGTTGCCAAATTAATAATAATAATAATAGATTGGCGCTTATACATATGTTGGTGTTTGGCCGAGCTTCTCCTCCGATTTGTTGCGTGCGCCTTGATGTTGTCACACAAAGCGGAGGGACTCCGAACGGCGATTGTATTTTTATGAGAAGCTGTTTTTCATGGCAGAAATCTACTCGGAGGTTTGCCATTGCCTGCCGAGGGACGACCGCTGTTAAGAAAAAATCTTTTTTCTATATTTTTTTGCGATGTTGCTTTGACCAGTGTTTGAACCCAGGTCCTGCGGAGTGGAAGCGCGCCCTGCATACCACAGCGGCCGACTACTTTTTCAAAAATTATGGCTTGCTGGTGTGGACTGGGACGATATTGAATCAGTACCTACTGATATTGAATCA